GGGGGTGGTTCTGGAAGTGGTGGTGGGATTGGGGGTGGGCGTGGAGGTGGTGTTTGTAGTGGTGGTGGTGACCTCCATGGTTGTAGTGTTGGTGTCTGTGGAGGTGTTGGTGGTCTGGTTCATTTTGGAGATGCTTTGTTTGGTTGTTGAGTTGTTCTCCATCCTGGTTGGATCAGTTCCGGCACCTGTGGAGAGAGCAGAAGTTCTGGTGTTCTGGTGGGTTCAGGGGTTCTACTGGTTTTGGTGGGTTCAATGGGGTGCGTGGCCCTACTGGTGGTTTTTGGAGACCACCAGGTGGTGGTGGAGGTTTGGGGTGGGGTGGTTTCAGAAGTTCTCGCAGAAAGTTGAGGGGCTTCTGTGAAGGAGCTGAGGGTGGGACAAGGTTCCTCAGGGCTGGGGAGGAGGAGAACTTCATCCCCCACTTTCTCCCCATGGACCATAAGGCTCTTGGAATGGTTTGGGTGGAAAGGGGACCTTAAAGACCACCCAGTTTCTTAAAGGCCACCTTCCACTAGACCAGGTTCCTCCAAACCCCATCCAACCTGGCCTTGAACCGGGCAGGTGTCGGCCACGTGTTTCTTCCTACCGGTCATTGTGCAAATAAGGGAGGGGTGGGGGGTTGGTTTTTTGGGGTGTAATTTCTTTCTTCCTCCTCTGGTCACCGTTGGGTTCTTCCCGTTTCCCTTCTGGCAAGGTCGGAGCTGGGAATTCCCCTCCAAAACCCATCGTGACCCCAAAAAAAACCTGGGCCAGGGTCCAACAGCCCCACATCCTTCAGACATTGGTGGCCCCACAGGGTGGACACAGAACTCCCAGTTGGGGGTGGGTGGTGGTGGGGTGTCTCCCCAGAGATGGTGGGGTGTCTCCCCTCCACCTTCTGGCCACGTTGGTGGTGGAGCAGCCCAGGATGAAGTTGATGGCTCAAGTTGAGCTTCTCCTCAACCAACACCTCCCCAACCAACACCCATGGATCCACCACCGCCATGGGTCCTACGTGTGTCCCCCCCCTTCCGAGGTTCAGGAGGTCACCCCAGTCCCACCCCACCCACGTTTTCCCACCTCCCAACCCCTCAAAGCCCCCCTTGAACCCTCCTCCAACCCAACCCAACCCCAGCTACAGCTGAATCCTCCCACATCGGGGTCTTATCCCTGTCCTTTTCCTTTGCACTTTCACTTTCTGAGGAGAAAGGGGTGGGGTTGGAGAATAACGTGCTCCGGGGAGGGGACACCCCCCAATTTCCTCCCCCCCC